TATCACACCACAACGCTGCCCCTATCATACACACACTGCCCCCTATCACACACACGCTGCCCCTATCATACACACGCTGCCCCCTATCATACACACGCTGGCCCCTATCATACACCACTGCCCCTATCACACACACAGCTGCCCCTATCATACACACACTGCCCCTTATCATAACACACACTGCCCCCTATCATACACACACTGCCCCTATCATACACACAGCGCCCCCTATCATACACACACTGCCCCTATCATCACACACTGCCCCCTATCATACCACACACTGCCCCTATCATACACACACTGCCCCTATCATACACCACTGCCCCTATCATACACACACACTGCCCCCTATCATACACACACTGCCCCTATCATACACACACTGCCCCTATCACACACACACTGCCCCTATCACACACACTGCCCCCTATCATACACACACTGCCCCTATCATACACCACTGCCCCTATCATACACACACTGCCCCCATCATACACACACTGCCCCTATCACACACACACACTGCCCCTATCATACACACACTGCCCCCATCACACACACACTGCCCCCATCATACACACACTGCCCCCATCACACACACTGCCCCTATCACACACACTGCCCCCTATCATACACACACTGCCCCCTATCATACACACACTGCCCCTATCATACACACACTGCCCCCTATCATACACACACTGCCCCCTATCATACACACGCTGCCCCTATCATACACACACTGCCCCCATCATACACACACTGCCCCTATCACACACACTGCCCCCTATCACACACACGCTGCCCCCATCATACACACACTGCCCCTATCATACACACGCTGCCACCTATCACACACACGCTGCCCCTATCACACACACTGCCCCTATCATACACACGCTGCCCCTATCACACACACGCTGCCCCTATCATACACACGCTGCCCCCTATCACACACACGCTGCCCCTATCACACACGCTGCCCCTATCACACACACGCTGCCCCTATCACACACACGCTGCCCCTATCATACACACGCTGCCCCTATCATACACACGCTGCCCCTATCATACACACGCTGCCCCTATCATACCCGCTGCCCCTATCACACACACGCTGCCCCTATCACACACACGCTGCCCCTATCATACACACGCTGCCCCTATCATACACACGCTGCCCCTATCACACACACGCTGCCCCTATCACACACACGCTGCCCCTATCACACACACGCTGCCCCTATCACACACACACTGCCCCTATCACACACACGCTGCCCCTATCACACACACGCTGCCCCTATCACACACACACGCCGCCCCTATCACACACACGCTGCCCCTATCACACACACGCTGCCCCTATCATACACACGCTGCCCCTATCATACACACACTGCCCCTATCACACACACACTGCCCCTATCATACACACGCTGCCCCTATCATACACACACTGCCCCTATCACACACACACTGCCCCTATCATACACACGCTGCCCCTATCATACACACGCTGCCCTCTATCATACACACGCACGCAATGACAAAGATCGCCCGTGAAGCCCGCGTCGACTCTTGGGACAAGTGTTGCGAGGGTGCACCAATGAAGGCTGGCACGAGGGTGTGGTGCAACCAACACCATCGACGCAGCACACACGCACGCACACACACACCTACATGCATAAAGGTCTAAACCAGGGGTCCTCAAACTACGGCCCGCGGGCCACATGCGGCCCGCCGAGGACATTTATCCGGCCCGCCGGGTGTTTTTGCCGCCGCTGCCTGTCTGTTACTTTTTTTCTACATGAGAAGGACGGTCATTGGTGGAAGAGGGAGAGGGGGCGGAGTTCCCCCAATCAGACTGCATTGATGGGCAGTGCAGTCTGTATGTCTCTGTGTGGGCAAAGTTATTGCTGGTATATTGTTTTTGTAGCGCTGTATATATTGGTATTTTACTAATAGCAATTTTGACTCCCTAGGAAACAATGATGTCAAGAAAGAGAAAAATTGACTCGGAGTGTAGGATATTCAAAGAACAGTGGACTTATGATTATTTGTTCATGCAGTACAAGGAAAGAGCTGTGTGTCTGATATGCCAGAATATAGTGTCTGTGTTCAAAGAATACAATTTACGTCAACACTATAAAACTCAACATAAAGATAAATATGCTTGTTTGGTCGGAGAAGTGAGAAAAGATAAAATATTAAAACTGAAAAATACATTAACAACTCAGCGAAATAGTTTAGTGAAGCAGAAGCAGCTAAATATTTCATCACTGCGAGCAAGTTTTCAAGTTTCCAAGCTAATAGCGTGCACTGGCAGACCATTCGTGGAGGGAGAATTTGTTAAAGAATGCCTTCTTTCTGTTGCCAAAGAGATGTGTCCAGAGAAGGCCGATTTATTTAGTACAGTGAGTCTTTTAGGACCTACAATTACACGGAGGATTGAAGAAATGGGAGACAATTTGCATCAGCATTTGCAAAACTCCACAAAAAACTTTCCTATTTTTCCTTGGCACTCGACGAAAGCAATGATGTTCGTGATTCTGCACAACTTCAAATTTTTATTCGTGCGACGAATGACTATTTCGAAGTCACAGAAGAGCTTGCTGCACTGCAAAGCATCAAAGGAACAACTACAGGAGAGGATATCTTTCGATTTAAAGCTTTCGTGACTGCAGGGACTCATCTTCTTGGTTCTTTCGGCAAAGTCACATAGAAGGGAAGTAATAAAATAATTCTCACGACGTTTCGGCCACAACGCAAGCAGCCGTCCTCAGGTGAAAACCAGGTCTGTTGGGGAGACAGCGTCTGAATGAAACAGCACACGAGCTTGGAGCATATATAAGCTTTGTTGGAAGCGGGGGAAAGAGCGCCTTGACAAAATAATTTCAATATCAAGAGGAATTTAGCATATTTATGGGAAATGCAGGAATGTGATTAGTACTACATATGCCCGTGCTACTAATAACATTCCTGCATGTCCCATAAATATGCTAAATTCCTCTTGATATACAAATTATTTGTCAAGGCGCTCTTTCCCCCGTTTCCAACCCAGCTTATATATGCTCCAAGCTCGTGTGGTTTCATTCAGACGCTGTCTCCCCGACAGACCTGGCTTTCACCTGAGGACGGCTGCTTGCGTTGTGGCCGAAACGTCGTGAGAATTATTTTATTATGTTTTATTTTTATTATTTTATTACTTCCCTTCTACGTGACTTTACCGAAAAAACCAAGAAGAGAGGATATCTATGAAAAGGTTTGCCAAACTGTGAATGGTTTGGAGCTGAACTGGGCTAAACTAGCCAGTGTGACAACTGATGGTGCTCCTAGCATGGTGGGGTCTAAGAAAGGAGTAATTGCTCGCATTAACCAAGAGATGGACAAACATAACCATTCTCATCCAATAGCCATACACTGCCTCATCCACCAACAAGCGCTGTGTAGTAAATCACTGAAGTGGGACTCTTATGAAATTTGTGGTATCTTGTGTTAACTTCATTAGAGCTCATGCACTAAACCACAGACAATTTCAAGCATTTCTGTCTGAGCTAAATGTTGACTATGAAGATGTTCTGTATCACACAGAAGTCCGTTGGCTGAGTCGAGGGAGAGTTTTGAAACGTTTCTATGACAGCTTTTCTGCTTTAAAAAAACAAAGAAGTACCAGAGCTCAATGATGCAGAATGGAAATGGCACCTTGCCTTTCTGACAGATGTAACAGAGCTACTCAACAGTTTCAATGTGCAACTTCAAGGAAAGGGGAAGCTCATCTGTTATATGCAATCACATGTCAAAGCATTTGAAGTAATATTAGGCCTCCTCATCAAACAAGTGAAGGAGGAAAACTTCTGCCATCTCCCCACAACTCAAAATCTGTTAGCGGAAAAACCATTGGTTGCATTCCCAAACAAAACGTGTGGATTCACTGGAAAAATTGCAAAAGGAGTTCCAATTTGGATTTAAAGAGCTTCATCTCCATGAACAGGACATACAGCTTTTCCGTAACCCATTTTCTATTGACATTGAAAATGTGGATACAATTTACCAAATGGAACTGGCTGAACTGCAGAATTGTGACTCTCTGAAAGACGCATTCAAGTCAAGCAGCCTTCATAATTTCTATGCATCTCTCCCCTCTGAGACATATCCTCATCTCAGGAACCATGCACTCAAAATGGCAACCATCTTTGGCAGCACTTATGTCTGTGAACAGACTTTTCCAGAATGAAACATTTGAAATCTCCAACCAGATCTAGACTAATGGATGCACACTTGCATCACTTGTTACGACGAGCAGTGACAAATATGGAACCGGACATTGACCATCTCATTAGCCAAAAGCAGGCCCATAGTTCCCATTGAAATACTGGCAAGTTTGTTGATTTAACTTTACTTGTTCTTCATTTTAAATATTGTATTTATTCCCGTTTTGTTTCTTCACTTCAAAATAAGATATATGCAGTGTGCATAGGAATTTGTTCAAAGTTTTTTTTAAACTATAGTCCGGCCCTCCAACGGTCTGAGGGACAGTGAACTGGCCCCCTGTTTAAAAAGTTTGAGGACCCCTGGCTTAGACCGACATCGTCTCAAGCTTACACATCTACCGGGTAACCATTTCACTTTGTATTGTCTATGAAGTCCACCCACACAAACTGCTGGGAGTTGCCTCGCTCTGCCTCACAGTCAGAATTCTCCTCCTGCTTCACGTTGCCTCCATCGATGTGAAGGTCCCATTTTGGAGTTGAATCTTCATCTTCACATTTTACTTTCACTTCTTCGCTCTTCACCATCACTTCTTCACATTTCACCTTCACCTCTTCATATTCCACCTCGTTACCTTTAAAAGTGTCCAAGCTGGGATTTTCTTCCGGTTCTTGTTTGATGACAGATGGGCTCATTGCAGCACTTTGACTTTCACAAGCTGATTTCAGACTCCACTCCTGGTGGATCTTCTGATGCTTGTGTGTTCTCTGGTGTACATGAAGATGTTCTGACTGTGCAAACGCCTTCCCGCACGGAGTGCACCTGAAGGGTTTCTCTCCCGTGTGTGTTCTCTGGTGTTCTACAAGAGTAGATGAATCTGAAAACGTCTTCCCACAGACACTGCACTTGAAGGGTTTCTCTCCCGTGTGTGTTCTCTGGTGTGCTACAAGAGTAGATGAATGTGCAAACGCCTTCCCACACACACCGCACTTGAAGGGTTTCTCTCCCGTGTGTGTTCTCTGGTGTGCTACAAGAGTAGATGACTGTGAAAACGCCTTCCCACACACGCTGCACTTGAAGGGTTTCTCTCCCGTGTGTGTTCTCTGGTGTACATGAAGATTTGCTGAAAGTGCAAACGCCTTCCCACACACACTGCACTTGAAGGGTTTCTCCCCTGTGTGAGTTCTCTGGTGCCGTGTCAAATGTCCAGGATGATCCGTGCTGTATGCACACCGGTCGCATTGTTGCCTTGTCGCACCGAGTCGCGCCGAGTGCCTTTGCTCCATCAGACCAATTCTGCAGAGGAAGCAACACCATCTACACGTTAGTATCGAGGCACAGCGGAATGCATATATACACAGTCACACGTGACTTACACGTCTATACTTATTCATATATGCATGATATAGTGAAACAGTTTACCAAATTCATCACACGGGCTGTTATTGCACACAATGAGAGACTAAATGGTCATTAATATGCCTGGAAGCCCTCGCATCTTCAAAATGAATGTGAACCCAAAACTCCGAGCACACAATTTCGGCTGTCTGGCTAAAAAAGAAATATTTATAAGAGCTAAATTCGGCTGACATAGCAAAGGGTGTTGGAAACAATCCTATTTGTGTTATGCAGAGATGTGTAAATAAATACTGGTAGGAACCTCCTGGTTACACCAGCCCACAGGGGATTGTTGTGTCCGTCGTGAAGGGAGGGGCTGGGTGGAGAGGGTGGAGAGGGGCTGGGTGGGGCTGGGTGGTGGGTGGGAGGGGTGGGGCTGGGTGGGGGGGTGGGAGGGGTGGGGCTGGGTGGCGGGTGGGAGGGGTGGGGCTGGGTGGAGAGGGGCTGGCCACCCCGTGGTGCCCTTATAAAACTCAACGTTTCACCTACTCACGCCGGCGTGTGCCCGCCCTCACAGTCGGGCATATTTGCGGAATGCACCACGCCGCCGTTGACCCTGCAGGCCATTGAGCGAGCAACCCGACGTTCCTACCAGCTCCCTCCACAGCAGCAGGAATGTTGTTCAGTGGCAACTTAGCGGTATGAAGCCAGGCTCAGATGTCCTTGAATGATGGGATGAACAGATCTGACGTCAGCTGCTGCACGTGTGTGTGCTGTGCTAACTTCCACTCTTATAAAGAGTTCCAGAGGAAAACTAAAATAAACTATTGTTTTGATACAACCTCCGTGTTCATCAGAGTTAATATACTTTACACTGTCACACACTGATAGACTTTACTGCAAACACAAACTTGACACTGTCACAACAGAGTTGATAGACTTTACTGCAAACACAAACTTTACACAGTCACAACAGAGTTGATAGACTTTACTGCAAACACAAACTTGACACTGTCACAACACAGAGTTGATAGACTTTACTGCAAACACAAACTTGACACTGTCACAACAGAGTTGATAGACTTTACTGCAAACACAAACTTGACACTGTCACACACAGAGTTGTTAGACTTTACTGCAAACACAAACTTGACACTGTCACACACAGAGTTGTTAGACTTTACTGCAAACACAAACTTGACACTGTCACAACAGAGTTGATAGACTTTACTGCAAACACAAACTTGACACTGTCACAACACAGAGTTGATAGACTTTACTGCAAACACAAACTTGACACTGTCACAACAGAGTTGATAGACTTTACTGCAAACACAAACTTGACACTGTCACACACAGAGTTGTTAGACTTTACTGCAAACACAAACTTGACACTGTCACACACAGAGTTGTTAGACTTTACTGCAAACACAAACTTGACACTGTCACACACAGAGTTGTTAGACTTTACTGCAAACACAAACTTGACACTGTCACAACAGAGTTGATAGACTTTACTGCAAACACAAACTTGACACTGTCACACACAGAGTTGTTAGACTTTACTGCAAACACAAACTTGACACTGTCACACACAGTGCCATGGTAAACAGGTAGTGGTGGTGTGGAGTTTACACCAGACCCCCCTCCCGGTTTTCCCCTCCACATTCAACATCAGCGTCTTTGACAGACAGACATTGACACACGTAGTCTTGGTTCGTTCGGTAAAGTCACGTAGATAGCAAATACAAATAACAGATCATGAAATTAAATTAAATAATGACCACTTGTGTGGCGATCGAAACGTCATGGGTTTATTCTTTATTTGCAATTTTTAAATTTTATTTAACATTATTATCTGTTATTTTTTTTTATCTCCGTGACTTCACCGAAAGAACCAAGAATATGAATTGCTGGAGTTACTAAAGTTTTAAGTCAAAACACCGAGACACGCGTTGACAAAACCCACCTTGTTGTTGTGGGCAGGTAGCTTCTGTAAACAAGAGCGGTACAGCAGCTCAGGCGGGCTTGGGCTGGTAAAAAAAACGAAAAAAAAAACTGCGTTAATATCTACAGTAAACCAAAGTGACAAAGTAGCGAGCCGCGTGAAGACAAATTAAACTTAAGGGAGGGAATTAAAGCAAACGCGACCAGGCGAGGGCAGGAGGCAAGGCCCCGCGTGTCTAGGCCCCGCGTTGTAAAGTTCCAACTTGGACATCGATTCACAAGCTGCTGCTGCTCTATTGACATCCCTACGAGAGAGAGAGAGCGAGGCTCTAGCTTGGTAAACAACAACAACCACAACAACAACCACAACAACAACCACAACGATGAAAATTTCTCACCTCGGATTGCAGTTCACGCGCGGACCTCCAGCTTCCTGTTAGCTCGTGACGTCACGCGGCAGCAGATGACATGACGTCACTTTCTGGGGTACAAGACCCTCCCCTCCCACAATGAGAGGCTACCCTAACTGAATAAATTAATAAATTATGTTTATGTGGCGATCATCAACATTATCAATAAACATCATTTACACCATCATATACAACAACATCAACATCATCAGCATCAACAACAACAACATCATCAGCATCAACAACAACAACATCATCAGCAGCATCAACAACAACATCATCAGCAACATCATTAATAACATCATCTAAAGTGGAAAGCTGTCTTGGGTGTGGACCAATCAACTTCAAGGACAGTGCATACATTATCAGAGTTGTGTTTTTTGTTTGCATTATGACTGCAGGTATTGTGGTCTATGCAAACATGACTCCTCGTAAAAAAAGGTGTCAGTTTTGTTGCCAGATAAAAGGGTAAAAAACCAATTATCAAGACGAAAAGAGTGACACTTTATCACGATCCAGCAAGACTTAACTAGATTTAAATTAAAAATCCAACCTTTTTTTGAACATAGCGTAAAATATAAAACCAAGAGGTCACGCTGAAACTTGAACTCAAGATTCAAGGGTTGCAAAGAGACAATCATCTCACGTTGGACTCATTGAATATTTTTCTGAATAGCACTGAGGGATGGAGCCAATGGTGAGTGCGTTGATTTCTTGATGAGTGTGCACTCATGTCACGTGCGCTTTCTGTTGGTAGCCCCTGTGATTGTGCCAGGTGTAAACATTTTTAGTAGCGTTTAAAATGGAGAGTTCCATAAAAATAACTCAAAATAAAACTCAGTAAAATAATACAAATTTTGAGTTAACGTTTTCAAATGAATTGATGGAAAAGTAATGCCCCTTCACGTGTTTGATATTAAAATGAATTATCTTTGTGAAACTGGCCAGGAGATGGCAGTACAGAAAGGATATACGGTGTCAGGAGCAAGTGCAGATGGCTCGGTTCTCAGAAAACACTTTTCTAAATGTGGGCTCAGCAGCTGCTGCCGAGAGGTTGTGCAATGAGGCAGCTCTACGTGGGGGTTCCGTGGTGTAATGGTTAGCACTCAGGACTCTGAATCCTGCGATCCGAGTTCAAATCTCGGTGGGACCTACAAATAATAATTTTTTCTCTTTATACGTGACTTGACCGAAAGAACCAAAGAGTAATTCCTGCAGTCACGAAAGCTCCAAGTTAAGTTTGTGTTATACTCTTAGGTTTTTCGGTAAAGTCACGTAGGTAAAAAAAATAATTAATGTAAATAATAATAGAAATAAAATAAATGTGATTTATTTTTTATTTTATTTTATTATTATTTTTTTTTCTACCTACGTGACTTTACCGAAAAACCTATAAGCATGAATCCTTGCAGTCACGAAAGCTTCAAATCTAGAATTATTTTTTTTTACCGACAAAGAAACTTATTTTAAGTTTTAGTAAAAAAGAAAATCAAAAATTCAATTGCATAAGCTGACTGGATCAAAATCAAATGTTCAGCTTTTTGTCCTCTCGAATGTAGTTATGAGGCCAAGTCACCTCCTGGGTACGCATCTGCATGTGAAATTATGCGTTTGCATGTATAATGGTGAAGTTGCGTGTGAAGTTATGTAGTTGCATGTGTCATGGTGTATTTGCACGTATCCAGTAATGATCCATTGAATGCACAAGCGAAGGTGCTATGGAGATGTTAGTACAGAAATTAATTGAATCTAAATTTAGCTGAACTTTGGGTATTTCCCTCCTCGTATTGCATGGGTTTTCTCTGTACACTGGTTTCTTACCATTTTTCAAACATCCCAAAGCAGTACCCTTCTGAAAGAGGATCTTTGATAAAAGGGAAATATTATTTTAATGAAAAGGCCACGGTTAGAAATGTAAGAAGTTAGTTGGTTTAGACAGTAATATTATTATTGTGACTGTATTCAATGTAAATACTCGTGCTTGTCTGGGAGGCCCAAATATCAAAAGGAGTCTCATTGACTCCTCCATGTGGCTTGTTCCAGTCACCCAAACGTTCCTCTCATCGTGATAAACTAAAGAATCTGAGCTGTACCATTCCCCGGTCAAACACACATTATGACATATTTCCAATAGCCATTATAATAAATACTCTTTCCATCACAAGTTAAAATAAAAAAAACTGAAAACTCGTGATTTTCATAATGATGGAACGAAACATTGGAATCCATACTGCAGTCACGAAAGCTTCAACTCAAGATTAAAACATTGTACGTTTTGCAAACGTATGCCAACGTTTTGGAAGAACCCGCTGAGACTGGAACTCAAATTGCAGGATTCAGAGCCATGAGGGCGAACCATAACACAACGGAAGCGCCTCGTAAACACGACGACACGAGTGGGACAGGAAAGAGAGTTGCGACACACGACACGAGGGATGTGGGCAGGTGTCATCCTGGAACATAACAATGGAGCTAATTTCTCTCACTTTTTACTGAGCAAGCAGGATGTCTTAGAAACTGAATCATGTTGAGTCAAAATCAAAACGCAAATCTCCTGATTTTCATGAAAAACCTATCAATTTAAGATTTTATTAAATTTAAGATTTGATCAAATTGCAGTATTCAGATTCCTGAGTGCTAACCATTACACCAGGAACCACCTTATGAACTAGTTTCATGACACGAGTGAAAACTGAGAAAAAGTGAAGGCAAATCGAGCCAAATGACAGAGGGGACATGGGCAGGTGTAACTGTGGCATCGAGTAATTCAGCACGATGTTGACATTCAGATCAGTGATTGCAGATTTAGTAATTGTCATGCGGAATGATTTTGGGGGGACAGGACTCAATGTTGACTCACTGTTCAGGCTGCCTTAGAAGCTGAAACATTCTTGATTTGAAGCTTTCGTGACTGCAGGAATCTTTACTCTTTGGTTCTTTCGGAAAAGTCACGTAGTTAGAAATAAAGAAACATTATCACGACGTTTCGATAGCAACACAAGCGATTGTGTTCAGGTGAAAGTCGCGATTGCCGCGATGTCTGCTGCCAGCAGCACGAGGCTTGTGTTGCTATCGACACGCCGTGATTGATTTTGTTTTATTTCTACCCACGTGACTTTACCGAAGACACGTTCCTTCGGAGTGGGCAGGTAGGAACTTGGCTCAACCCATCCGGGAGGGGCGCACCTCTGGTTGGCTGCTGGCTCGTGATCACGTGACGCACTTCAACCAATCCGAAAGCGTACGTGTTTGGGAGGGGCCATGCACGACAGACAGACAGACAAATAATCCCTGGTGGGCAGCAGTGCGGAACTGTTGTTCCTACCTGCTGTGTACAAGATCACGTGACTTGAGGTAGCCAGGCAGACAGCCCCCTTCACTATCGGCCCCTCCCCTAGGCCCCTCCCCTGACCCCCCCTCCCCTCCCCTCCCCTCCCTTAGGCCCCTCCCCTGACCCCCCCTCCCTTAGGCCCCTCCCCTGACCCCCCCTCCCTTAGGCCCCTCCCCTGACCCCCCCTCCCTTAGGCCCCTCCCCTGACCCCCCCTCCCTTAGGCCCCTCCCCTGACACCCCTCCCTTAGGCCCCTCCCCTGACCCCCCCCCTCCCTTAGGCCCCTCCCCTGACCCCCCCTCCCTTAGGCCCCTCCCCTGACCCCCCCCCTCAGGCCCCTCCCCTGACTGACCCTCCTCCCTTAGGCACCTCCCCTCTCCGTACCGGCAGGAGGTCTCCACCAATCAAAGAGCTGTTTATATTATATATTTATTTATGCACGACAGACAGACAAAAAATCCCTGGTGAGCAGTGTGGAACATATTGTTCCTACCTATATAACGAAAAATCAGTTTAAACAATTACTAAGAACTCGTGACTTGGTTCCACCGAGATTTGAACTCAGATCGCAGGATTCAAAGTCCTGAGTGCTAACCATTACACCATGGAACCTTCACACAGAAACCTTGTTACACAGTCAACACGAGAGTGGGTTCAATCAATTGTATTAAATCATTAAAACAATAATGCTGCTTCCAACTTTTTTTTAAGAATGAGTGGTTGCTGTTAAGAGATTATGAAGTTAGTAGGGCAAGTGTGCCGGTTATAATGGTTATTAGCACTCAGGACTCTAAATCCTGTGAACTATGTTCACGTCTCGTTTATAACCCCACCACGTTTAAAAAAAATTTCAGTAGTTTTGTCATTCAAATTACGAGATGTGAGTTTTAATTTGACTTCAGGATCTAAGGCAGCCTGACTGCTGAGCCAAAAGTGAGTGCTGTGCTCCCAAAATCACTCCACGTGACAACCACTAAATCTGCAATCACTGATCTGATTTCCAACTTCGTGCTCAATTCCGAGATGCCACGGTGACACCTGCCTATGTCCCCTCTGTCATCTTCACTTTTTCTCAATTCTCACGTGTGTAATGAGCCTGCTTCATCAGTTGGTTCCATGGTGTAATGGTTAGCACTCAGGACTTTGAATCCTGCGATCCGAGTTCAAATCTCGGTGGAGCCTGTGTTGTGCATTTTTTAAAGATTTGCTTCTAAATAAATTATTGGGGAGAGAAAAACGGGGTTTAACACGCACATTATTCACACATTTGGTAATGTTTTATGATTGTGTAAACGTATGAACAGGAGGCAGTACATCCATAAATTAAATCGAAGTGTGCGAGCTCAGGTTTGAGTGCCCTAGAACACGTGCACCAGAGATGGAGTGATTAAATAATCGTTGCTCCACAATCAATTGTTTCTTCACCCGATGTGAATTTGCGGCAATGTGCGGGTATCTTCATCGGGCGGTTGATAGATCGTGGCCGCAGGTTTTTCTTTTTAGCACCAATGAAGTGTTCTCAATAAAAATTTGAATCGATTAATCACTGACCAACATGCAGAGCTTAAGCCCTCTAAGGAGTTAGTGCAGTAAAGACTTTTATTTGTCTGAAGGCCGTTTACGTGGAACTTTTCAGGGCGTTAAAGGCGAACTAGAAAACGGCGCCTGCTAAGGAATTGTGAACTGAGC